GCATGATAGCACGGGCCCATCCGGTGCGCGTCGTCAGTGATTTTTTGGTTTCCTAATTTTTAAGCCAAACTATCCGCAACGGCAAGTGGAGAGTAAGCACGCAGCCGCACTATACATTCACAGGCACACACTCTGAAAGTATATGCAAATTTCATGGCATTTTGTGTATGCAAGAATGCACTGAAAAATTATCAGTTTGAGCAGTATAAAAGTGGCTGAATTCTCACTTAGATCATTCATTGCTAGCGTACTAATCGAAGGCAGCACTCGGGTGCACGGACCGCTCTCGACTATCTCTGCTCACTGAAGAGGTTGTATTCTGCTGCTTACTGCTGCTGGATTATTCACTTCGTGTAGTGCCACTATTTTCTTGGCTTAATATTAACAAAAGCGGCGTTCCATTCTCTTGAAGTCTTAACTGCTCGCCTGAAAAAGAATTCTTTTTGCCTCAAATCTGATACTAGAATAGGTTTGAGCATGAGATAGGCGGGGTGAAAAATTTTAAACTTTTCGTACTTTTACGAATCTGTGTAATTTTTTGAGGGGAAAATTGTTGCAAAATCTCTGTGTCATTAAAAAAAAAATCACTTCACAATTTTTTTTACAGTTTTCATCATCCCTGGATTTTTTATAGCAATACCGTTATTAATATTGTTATTACTATTATTATTGTTATCAATATTGTCAAAGAGCTATTTTGCTCTATGCTGCCAATCTATCAAAATTAAATTATCGTTTTGTTTTGATTTGTGAAACTGCATGAAATCAAACTTTTCTTTAGGCTCTGAAATGTCCAAACGTGTGCCACCATCAGCTCAAAAAGCTCCAACTAGTACCACCGGGGGTCCAAGTACAGCTGTGGGTGCACCTCCGGGTGCTCCCCCTGGTGCTGCTCCAGGTACAGGTGCAGGCGCTGGTCCAGGTGCAGGCGCAAAAGGTCCATTGACCAAAGGACAACAAAAGGCAACCGTACATTCGGTGAATGATATCATACCTGCCCTGAAAACATTCCTATACGACAAAAGCAACGTTCGTCTGGATAAATTTTTCTCCCAGCTGGAAGAAAAAACTCAGCTGCCGCGTGAACAGGTAACATTTACCTATGATATAAGTCAGCAAGATGCCCCTTGCTCTTTCGTCTGTTGAGTGGTAACAAGCCTTTTCTACAGGAGGAAAAAAATTTGCGAAAAATTGAGCTAAGGGGCCTAAATTTAGCCAGGAAAGCGAAAACGAAAAGAACACAGGAGCGAAATCTAAATTTTCGTCAGATTAACGAAAAATTTGGTAAGAAAGGCATGAAATTTAGTCAAAAATGGCCTTGTATGAAAAAACGCACAACTGTTTCCAAAGACAACAAACGTCGACATGCCTTAACAACTAGGAAGGGAAAAATAGGAAGACATGCTATTTTGAGAGGAGTGCCGCTTTCGAAATACAAAATCAACCGATATTTTGGACTTTGACAGAAATTTAGAATATCGCAACAACTGAAATCTAATTCTCGATTCTTACGATTCATATGGAGCAGTACTCCACCAATATTTCAGTTCGTTAACTCGCTGATTTCGAACTTATTAAATCAGCCAAATTTGAAACTGAGTTATATTTCAAGGTGTAGCAAGGTGTAAAAACCGACATAGGAAAATAACTGGTGGACAACAATTTCCAGTTTGTGTCGTTATCTATTTCAGGGCTGCAAGATTATCCCGGATTTGAAATTAACGTCGTAGATTGAGACAAAAAGAAAGAAATGAGCTGATTTAGGTCTGTAGGTGACTGGTACCCAAGATTAAAGCTTCTAGGATCTGAATTTGATTTATCCGAATGCACGTAACAATGCACACAACCGCACGAGCGCAGCTCACACAAATTTGTGATTTTGCCAGAGCGTTTTTGCACTCCTATAAATGCGGAAATTTTGCATATTTGATTAAAATGAATTTTGCATATTTTTGCACCAGTAATGAGACAGAGATGCATTATGCCAAAACCGTTTGATGCATGAATGCATGTGCTCCTGCATAGCAGTGATCCATAACAGAAATGATAAAAGCTAAAAAACAGTTGCAGGCTCTAAAGCCCTTTTTGATAGTTTACGAAGCCAGAAACAAGAAGTTGATTTACAGTAGCCCAAAAAGTCTTCATGATCCTCCGTTGACCCAAAAAAAGCCTTGATATCCTTCCGACCTATGATCTCAGTTTGAGTTAATTCCATAACTTAAAAGCGAAAACTGTGAAATTATAATTTTGATTTTGAAGCTGGATGCTTTGAAAAGAAGTTTCAAAATTCAGGGTATTTTTATGCCAGAGCAGTGCTCAGATTCACTTTAACTTCAGTATGCATTGAGTTGGAAACCTACTTTCAAGCTCATCGCTAATTACTGGAAAAAGCAGAAGTGGTTAAAAAGAGTCAGTACAGCTCATATCTTCTTTAAGGCTCAAATTTTTCCTCATAATCTCAGGATAGATCAGGATATAAATCGAACTTTAGCATACCAAAGCATCAAAAATTTTAGATCTCGTACGGAATGATGGGCCTTATTGCTGTATACTTGATCATCGGGTCCGCAGCGCAGCTTCTATGCAATCTGATTGGTTTCGGCTACCCGGCTTATGCTTCGGTCAAGGTAATCCCAAGGGCTAAGTTCTGGAATTAAGATTAAAAGCAATTCTGGAAGACAACAATCTGCTCAGATTCGTTCCAGCGCAAAAATTTGAAAAGCCTGCTTTTCAAATTTTTGAAAAACTTTTTTTGTGGAAAAGAATCTATACAAAAGCTCTATCTGTTTCTGGGATATTTTTCCTGAAATTTGGTTTGAAGGCAATTCGCACTGAGGATAAAGAAGATGATACGCAGTGGCTTGTGTACTGGACGGTATTCGCATTCTACTCATTATTCGATTTCTTTGCTGACGCTATTATGCGTGCAGTGCCACTGTACTGGATAGTCAAGGTAAAGCAATAATTAATCCACGCATTCGTTTTTATGCATTTTTTTTTGGTGAACATGCAAATGCAGAAACATACATTGACGCACATATATACGTATGTTCAGGCATATGCCTGCATAGCGAAGTCTGGCGTATAATTGTATTCTGGTATAACATCACTAAAATCAAATCCTCATTTCGACTGTCTGAGTGGACTTGGTGATCTTGCTTGTCTCGTCATATTTCATACCTTAATCTTCATTATAGTTGTCTATTCTTAATACAAAATTTGCTTTCGGCACTGCATACTGTGGTATGCCACTTTGCTTGGTACAATGCAAAGCTGGTCTCAACAAAGTTTTAGTGTAATTTCATTTTCTGCACTGGATTTTCGCAGTAACATCTTCTATTTAAAATATAGAACTCATTATTATTTTAGGTGATATTCTTGCTGTACCTGTACCTGCCTCAAACCTACGGCGCTCAAATCATCTACGAAAAGTACATTAATCCGATGATTGCTGGACTCGAGAAATCACTCAGTAAACACTAAAAGCCCTGCGATAAGATTATGCTCCATTGTGCGTCCATATGCCTCCTACACGTGTATATGTACAGTGCGCCATTACACACTGATTGAATTACTGATCTGCTGCAACTGACACAATAAAGATATAATTCTGAAAAATTTTGCTTGCTTCATAACACTGCAAATGAATGAATGCCCGACTTAAGTTCTCGAGTTCAAATCTGAAGCAAAAATGCGACTAAAAGGCCAAAAAATTGATAACTAAAAAGACAGAAAGATGAGCATCAAAAACACCCATTTCAGGAAGAGTTCTCGAAAAGCACTGAATAATCCTTTATCGTAGTTGTTCCTGGAATTGATATTAATTTCAGGTCTGGCTTCCGAACTGTATGTCGCAGCGACCTTTTCATCGAATGCGACTTCATGTGTGGTTCCTGTATTCTGACCACTCCATAAATTTCAGGCACAGCACTGATCCGTTTTGCCAATGGCCTTCCCCACTATTGTTTTAAACACATCATGGGTATCATTCTATTATTCGTTTCGTCCATCTTTTCTCTTGCTCTGTGGCCAATTCAGCTTTCCCTTTCCCTTTCGCGTTGAAACACCAGGACATGACCTGAAGTTGTCGCTGGTTGTTTTACAGCTAATTGACGCCCAACTCTCTTTGCTGATTTTTATGTCACAACTCTCGCATGGAAATCTTGCACATATGGAATAGACGGTATACCGGGTGATATTTACAGAAAGGTTCATAATCGCCTTTTTTAAGCTATTAGCGCTGTTCTGAATTTTTGCAAATCGTTGAAATTTTGTTGCAGTTAGGCGCCAGAGAAGTCAATTACAGAGCGCACAGCAGAGTTTGACTTCAAACTCAAAACTTTGTAATCTGAAGTGTGTCCACTGATTTTGATTAGCTTTATGTTGTATATCTTTTATATAGCTTCCTGTGATTACGCCTGGTGCGAAGAAGTTTGAGTCAACTATAGATGAGAAAAGGTGATTGCAGTTATTTTTACAAACGAAATTCATTCGTAGTCGATTTGTCAGGCAACTACGGCCTTTTTTGTCTAGGTAGAGTCCTACATGCGGCGTTCAAGGCTGCTAACTTCCCCTCAGCAACAAGTTTCCTAAAAAACTTACATAGAGTCCCTCTTTCACAAACCATTCCCTGTTTCCAATTCTTACCTTTAAGTAGAGTCTCAGCTCGTTTGCAGTAAATAACCCCC